GACTCCTGCCCCATCCAACCCCCCCTGTTCCCTGACAGCCCCTCTGGGACCCCTGCCCCATCCACACACCCACTCCCTGTCCCCTGACTGCCCCCGGAACCCCTGCCCCTGACTGCCCCCCGCCGCCCCATCCAACCCCCCCTCTCCTTTCTGACTGCCCCCCCAGCACCCCTGTCCCCATTCAACCCCCTGTTCCCCCGCCCTCTGACCACCCCCCGAACTCCCCTGCCCTCTATCCATCCCTGAGGGATGCGGGGGAGGGGGAACAGCAGGGGAGGTGCTGGGGGCGAGCCTCCCGGGCCAGGAGCTTGGGGGCCGGGCAGGACAGTCCCGTGGGCCGGATGTGGCCTGCAGGCCGTAGTTTGCCCACCTCTGCTTTAGGGGTTAACGTCTGTGTAAGGTGAATGTCACATGACTGCGTGGGACGGCTTCCCGGAGTGCTGCGCTGTATCCCTGGTCTATAGCAATAACCCGGATGTTGGGTCTCTGCTTTCTTGAGTATATTTCATAACGAACCAAAGAGCTATCCTGCAAATGACTACACTCCCGCCCCCCAGGCTCAGCCGAGCCTGGCCCTGCCTATGGCTCAAGCCCTTCCCACCCTGGCAAGACAGTGGCTGCTCCAGCTGCCCTGCGCCAGTCTCACCTAGGTTGTACCACATGTCCCGGATGGAGGCTCCAATGGTGGCTCTCATGTCTCCGTACCTGATACGACAAGGAGAGGGAATTATTCCCTCCAGCCCCTGTGCCGCCCGGACCATTCCAGGTGTCAATAAGGGCAGAATGGGACCAGGGCCAGGAATCCAGCACCAAATCCACCCCCCTTCCCATCCTCGATGGAGGCTCCAGATGCAGCCAGCCTAGAGCCTCACCGGAGAGCAGGGAATCCCCCGCCTGGTTCCATGGCAGAGTCAGGAGGCACCTCCAACTACTGAGGCCAGCGGAGGAGCCCAGGCTGTGGCCATGGAAGATGGGCTCCCCCGGGTCCCAGAACCCCCAGGGCCCAGTGGAGCCCGGCCAGGACTCACTTGGCAAGGATGGTGGTGCGCTTCGCCTGAGAGAAGTTCTCCAGCTGCAGGGAATCCTGGGTGAGGAAGGCAACTGCCAGGTGGAAATAATTGTTCCAAAGCTGTAAAGGAAAGATGGGCTCAGAGGCGGCTACAGAGATGTCAGATGCGTGGGGGGCTGGGACCCGGAGGTGAGGGAGTGGGGCAAGGCCAGGGAACGGGGGGAAGGAGGGGAGCGAGCTGGGAGGAGATTCATAGATTCCGAGGCCAGAAGGGACCATTGTGATCACTAGTCTGGCACCTTCCCCGCCCCCCGCCCCGTACAGCCCAGCCCAGAGACCTGCCCCACAATAATTCCTAGAGCAGAGCTTTTAGAACAGGGGTGGGCTACACTGGGGAATAGAAATTGTATGGTGGGCCATGAATGCTCACAGAATTGGGGTTGAGGTGTGGGAGGGGGGTGAGGGCTCTGGTTGGGGGTGCGGGCTCTGGGGTGGGGCTGCGGATGAGTGGTTTGGGGTGCAGGAGGGGGCTCCGTGCTGGGATCGAGGGGGTTGGAGAGTGGGAGGGGGATCAGGGCTGGGGCAGGGGGTTGGGGCATGGGGAGAGGCTCAGGGGTGCAGGCTCAGAGCGGCGCATACCTCAAGCGGCTCCCAGAAGCAGTGGCATGTCCCTTTTCCGGATCCTAGGCGTGGCGCGGCCCCCGACCCTTGGAAAGGGGCCATGCCGCAGCTTTCGAGAGCCGCGCGGTACAGCCCCCAACTCGGTGCCCTGGCTGGAGCGGGACTTCACCGCATGGTACGGCCCCTGACCCAGCTCCCCAGCGGGAGCTTGCGGGCCGGCTTAAAACGGCTGATCCAGGCTGTGGCCATAGTTTGCCCACTCCCGTTTTAGAAGAACATCCAATCTAGATTGAAAAATCACCAGAGATGGCGAATCCACCACGACCCTGGGTGAATTTGTTGGGATATATATCAATATACATTGTGATTCATATATCCATGTAATATGTTATAGGTCACTGAGGCCTGGTATGAATGACGTGTGCTTGACATGAATACGTGCATTGCAAGTTAGCAACCAAAGCAAGAACTTAAGGTCAAGGACTATTAGAACTATTTGTGCAAAAACAATCTTATGTTCCAAGAAAAATACAGAAAATCATCAGAAAAGGAAACACCACCAGCTGGACTGATATAAAATGGTATAAGAATTGGAGGAAATGGCACACCTCTGATCATGGCGGCCTGCCCAGCATTGTCTCTTTGGAATTGTGTGAAGGCCTAGTAGAAGGCCTAGTAAACAAAGGCAAAGAACCGATGACGCGATGGAATGGACTATAAATGGATGCCAAGGTTTTCTGCAAATCAGACTCGTTTATTGATCCAGAGTCCTGTGTGGATATAGATGTGGTTTTGCCGGCTCCCCGCATCCTATGATCTTATCCTGAGGGAAGGAACCTCGACTGGCCATCGGGATTATTCTGACCTTTGGACTCTGGTATAGCATGTTTGGGGTGTGAATGTGGAGTAAGGTTTGTTTTATAATCAATAAAGAGCATTTAGAGTATCGTATATCAACACTGTGTCCAGTATCTGCCTGCTCCCCATCCCATAAGGAGACCTCTACTGTGGGTCTAGGAAATTGTTCCTATGGTTAATTACCCTCACTGTCAAAAACGTGCGCCTTATTTCCACTCTGAATTTGTCTAGCTTCAACTGCCAGCCATTGCATCGTGTTAGACCTTTGTCTGCTGGATTGAAGAGCCTGTTATTAAATATTTGTTTCCATGTAGGTACCTATAGAGTGGGATCAAGTTATCCCTTAACCTGCTCTTTGTTCAGCTAAATAGATTAATCTCCTGGAGTCTCTCACTATAAAGCAGGTTTTCTAACCCTTTCATCGTTCTTGTGCCGCTTCGCTGACCCCTCTCTAATCTATCCACATCCTTCCTGAATTGTGAGCACCAGAACTGGGCACCGGATCCCAGCAGTGGGTGCACCAGAGCCAAATCCAGAGGGAAAATAACCTCTCTGCTCCTACTCAATATTGCCCTGTTTATACTTCCCAGGATCACATAAGCTCTTTTGGCCACAACGTCACCCTAGGAGCTCATGTTCAGTTAATTATCCACAATGACCCCCAAAGCTTTTCAGAGTCTCCCACCCTGAATGTTTAGCCTACATGCTTTGTTCCTAGATGTACATATTCATGTTTAGTTGTATAAAAATGCATGTTTGCTTGTGTCCGGTTTACCAAGTGAGACGGATCGCTCTGACTCAGTGACCTGTGCTTTTTGTTATTTCCCACTTCCCCAATTTTTGTGTCATCTGCAAACTTCAGTGATGATTTTATGTTTTCTTCCACGTCATTGATAAAAACATTAAATAGCACAGAGCCAAGAACCGATCCCTGTGGGACCCCACTGGGAACAGACCTCCTTGATTACGATTCTCCATTTACTATTACATTTTGAGATCTACTAGTTAGCCAGCTTTTAATCCATTTAATGTGTGCCATGTTCATTTCATATCGGTCTAGTTTTTTTTAATCAAAGTGTTGTAGGGTACCAAATCAAGCACCTCACAGATGTCTACGTGTAGTACAGCAACACTGTTACCTTTATCAACCACACTTATCATAGAATCATACAATATCAGAGCTGGAAGGGACCTCAGGAGGTCATCTAGTCCAACCCCTTGCTCAAAGCAGGACCAATTCCCAACTAAATCATCCCAGCCAGGGCTTTGTCAAGCCGGGCCCTAAAAACTCTAAGGAAGGAGATTCCACCACCTCCCTAGGTAACCCATTCCAGTGCTTCATCACCCTCCTAGTGAAAACATTTGTCCTAATATCCAATCCTCCAATTTGTCTAGGTCCTTCTGTATCCTATCCCTACCCTCCAGCGTATCTACCACTCCTCACAGTTTACTGTCATCTGCAA